GAGTGGGGAGCAGAGCAGGCAGAAGGACCGAGGTACACTGCTGAGGGGAGCAGCGGGCGGCAGGAGAGGTCTGCGCACCATGTGGGACCCTCGCCGGCGGACGGGGAGCAGCCGGGGATCGAACCGGCGCCGCAGAGGCCGCGGGCAGCTTCGCAACCCAGCGCTCAACCACTGCGCCACCGGAGAGGCCCTGGACTGTTTCTTATTAGACCAAAATCAAATCAGTGAGCTTGGCATGCACCCACCTCTATAATATTTACTCCAATATCCATCAATACACCTTGGATTTTGCTCGCTAGCTGGCCTGATTTCTTTGTTATCTTGAGAGCATACCTCTATCCTCTATGTTTCATTTAGACTTTTCTGTTTGTTAGTGAAAGAAACAAAATTGGATGAAGTTAAAATGGATTCAAGCATGAATGGACCCAGGTGCACAAATAATGCTCCCTGGTATCTTTCTGTCTACATTTCTTGATTCTTTTCTTTGCATTGGCTTGCATTTCAGGCAGGATCTCCTTTATTCTGGCAACACAGTTCCACAAGTCCAGACTTTCTTACATTTTTCAGGTTACCAATCCTAAGAGAAAGAGATTCTCACTCTAAATGGAGCCAAGACAAACCCTTAGAATGCCTCTGAGTACTAAGCACAGGGCTAGAATATTCTAACTGGTCATCCCTGGTACTGTGCCCAGCCCCAGAGCTGAGGATGATGTCAGCCTACTCGAATAACATGGACATAAAAGGAAGGGGTATACCATAGAGAAAAATCAGGCTGCTATTACCAGCAGAACTATCCTTAAAATGGGCAGTAAAAAGCTGTATAAATAGCTCCTATTTTACTTAAAGACTAGGTTTTAGTTCCTTCCACAAATATGGTCTTTGCTTTCATTTTCCCCTAGACAAATCCCTTCATTCACATAAGGGCAGGTGAGCTAATTAATGTCATTGAGCAGCTACTGTGTGCCAGGTGTTTTACACCCATGTCTCAGGCTTAAAATTCATAGTCACAGCTTGCAAGAACAGCAGTGTAATTCAATTTCTTTCTCTATAATCAAACTCAACTTACTCTTTGTGGTGGGGGAACATTTTTGTCATATCAGATAACTCAGAATCTGTTGGCTTAAAACTTAATTTCTTTTTGAGGCAATAATCAATTCAGGCTTAAATGCAGTTAATTCAAAGTTGAAATTTCATGTCAAGTGTGATCTCCCTTCTTAGGGTTTCTCCCTCCCCTCTTTAGCTCCAGGATTATGCCTGAATACAAAGGAAAATATAGACAGCATCTTGGTCACAAGGGAGGGGGTCCCCCATTGACTATCCTCACTGGTCTCAGCTGAGCTCATTTATTCTTTCATTTATTTTTAATTTTTTAAATTTTTTTAATTTAAATTTTATTTTTATATTCCCCATACAATTACAACCCCCTTATTTTGACCCCCAAGCCCTCCTTTTGAGCTCACTTATTCTTGCTCACAGAATGTGGACCTTCATCCTGCTGCATACCTGGAGTCTACTGTTGTTGTGGACGAGACAGTCATGGCAAGCTTCCTGAAGTCTGGGTACCTGACAACCTCTTCCTCCTGACTCCAGGTGCATGCCCTGTTCAATGCATGGACCTCTGTCTGCCTTAGGTCCCTCCACTGGGGCTGAGGTACAGTGGCTTTCTATGGGAAGCACAGCTAGCTCAGATTCTCTTGCTTCCTAAATAACACAAACCTCCATTTACCTTCCTACTTTATTGTAGGGGCACACAATAAAGGATTCTCAAGGGGGCTCCTCCCAGAACTATTGCAGTGAGCTGAAATCATCCCATCTGGTTTTTCTAGCATCTCACACCTCTGCCTGCCCACTTTCCCTCTGGGACAGGAGAGCTGCATCTTACATGTAATTTGTCCTCTTACGTGTTCTTTGTCTTCATGCACGTTCCTCCTGGGGGTCGGCTTTTTCTCTTCCCTGCTTGGCAGCGGGGTTTCTCTCCGGACACATCCTCTTCCTCTGATCTTCTGAGTTTATAAGTTTTTGATCATTAGCACCAGCAATCACTTTTTTCCTCTTTTTCTCTCAAAAAAAGCATAGCTCTTAAAAAAAGGAAAGTCATAGCTTCCAGAGTCAGAGCTTCCATTAGCTGAATACATTTCAGAGTCTATTTTATTTTTTAAGATTTATTCACCTATGAATACAAGAACTGGGGCACAGGCCAGAGGTGTGGGGGGTGAGAGGATTCACCTCTCCTGCCGTGCCAGGTGGGTAGCTCCCTGGTTGGGGATCAAATTCATGCTGCAGTGGCTGCAGATAACTGCATAGGTTGCGTCTTAACCCCTTGTGCACTAGGGAGGCCCTCAGAGTCTATTTTGAATGTCAGAAGTGGAACATCTAATGTTCTGTTCTTGTCTGAGTCCTGTTCTCCTCCCAAAGTGATGGGTGTCTCAGCTCCAATGGCTGGAGAGCAACAGGTCAATAAAAACAACCTGTATTAGGCTTTTAGTTTTCCCCAAAGCCTTTATTACTCTGATTCAGAAATATACTCTGGGGACTGGAGGCATGGAAGGCTAACGCTAAAGGAATTTCTTTTGAATTTCTAAACTATACTCCCAGACCTGTCTGTGTAATAAATCATCCATTTCCTACCTTATCCCCATATAAAGGGCACTGTGGTCAAATAAATTTTGGAAATGCCACTCTCAGTGGCTTTACCGTATTGAAGAATGGAAAGCCTCTGCATGGAGATAACTTAGGTCAAGTCCATCTTTTCCACATGTATTTCACAGCAAGATGTTCTATTTTCAAGAAATATTGCTTCAACTTTTGGGGGACTATATACATTGGGGAAACATCAGCTGTGCAAATAGACAGTCCCTAGCTTTGAAGAGAATGTAAGGAAAATATGCAGAAAAGGAGATAAAGGAATAAAAACATGATCCATTTCCTCCTTCGAAATGGAAATGACACCAAAGTTGCCAGAAGGACAAAAAGCAAAAACAAAACCAAACCAAACCAAAACGTTGCACCATCTTCCACGCAATCCCTAGGGAAGGAACACGTGGGTCACCTACTGCTATGGAATTCTTATTACGATGAGAACCATTATGGAGAGACTTCTCAGTCGATTAGCTGATGTTGCTGAGGAAACTGCAATAATATCACTAGTTTGATTTTCTGGGTTGAAGAGAACCAAGCAGCGGGAAATAACCTCTCCCTCCCTGTTCTTGAGCCTTGTGTATTTGCCTTCAGCGAATACACCTCAAGATACAATTTTAAATTAAAAAACAAGAAAGTATATTGGATTAATTCATCATGGCTGGTTTTCTACCTGGAGCAAAACAGACTTTTTAAGCTACCCATCCAAGCTTGCATTAGAAAAGGCACAAAACCCGGGCTGGAGTTTTCACAACACCTCAGCTCACTGGTCATCTGAAGCCAAGAACTGACATGAAGTCGGGGGACAGAAAGGGCAGAGCCCAGGCTTCTTAAAAGTGGCCCTGCCAGCTCCCCTCCTGGGCTCACAGGGCTGCCCTCTTCTTGATGAGCAATTTTATCTGCTGGTTTCACTGTACGTTGCTGGAGGATTCTGAGCTAAAAATGCTATGTGGTTAATTATACAGCTAATGATCTCTGGGGAGTTTGCTTTCTGAGCCTATCACTCTAGGCAATGAGTAGAAAAAGTGCCACATAACATCTTCTGCCTTTGTGGAGTGAGTTAACCAAGTCAGAATGAGATTTTTGAAAGGTGGCACATTCATAAGAGGAACATTTGGGGAGCTTGAATTCTTTGCATCCAGGCGCATCTGTAATGCCTTTGCCTTCTTTCTGAAAAGGTGCATGGTGGGGACTGTATTCTCTGCTTTATATTCGTTTGTAGCAGAGTTGTAGCTGATGGTGAGAAAGGAGGTGACAATTTACTAGCGTTACTTCATCCAGGTCATTAGCTCAGCTAAAACTGGGGTATAAATTTCTGTGGAAGAATCAAAGAAGGGATTTGGGGGGACTAGTCTTTTCTTCCACACATATATTAATTAGATATATGGGAATAGATTCCAGAATAAATCTCTACATTCATTGGAAGTCAGTGCTGGGTGGAGAATAAGGCTTTTCGATGGAGAAGAGGTGGTGCAGACTATTGCTGTGTTTTGTCATAATTTTTTAGCACAATACATGTATTATATTGATAATAACTTAAAAGAAACGTAGGAGTCCCTGTATGTAGGTGTGGGCAGGCGATGCAAGTTGAGAGGATATATCTTTCCAGTTTCACTTCATATTTATTCTTGTTTCTCTCTGAATATAATTTGAGCCTGGTATTCTTAAGCTTCATTTCAAACCAAAAAAAAAAAAAAAGATATGATTCCTAATTGTGGACAAATAATAGTTGGGGTTATAATTTCATCCTTTTATCTAATCTTTTTTTTTGCTATGAATATAAAGAAAGTCTTCTCAGTGGACATCAAATGCTATAGTGATGACAATTAACAAGTGACATCTCAGAAACTTACGTAAGAGCTGTTTACTTCCCAAGGTGTTCAATTTTTCCTTATGGGAAGAATGGCATCTTTCCACTGTGGCTACTCTCTGATTTCATAGCCCTTTAAACTAAGATACAAAAATCTTCAATCTGGAGATTTTCATTTTTGCTTGTTTAGGTAGTCGCTGCCAGATTGTATGCTCTCAACTTCTTTGCTAGTAATTATTCTCCCCTTTCCAAATTTCTATCTGCCACTGACTTGGAGAATATCTGGTCAAGTCCAACTTTCTTGTTGACTGGAGTGCATTTCATGAGCTCTCTGCCCATCTGCTGTGGGAAAGAGGTCCACAGCCACAGAGAAGAAACAAAACGGTGAGATGAGACCTATCCAGGTCAAGTCCCAAGGAAGTACCTGAGGGGTAATGATCACAATCATATTAATAGTATTATTTTTAAAATATCTCCTGTATAATAATAATGCAACTGTAGTTCAATGTACTGTAATTTGATATTATGAAATACTAGGGTTTTTTTTTTGTAGGTCATCTCCAAACAACTCTCCAAGGCAGCTGCTTTATCATCCCCACCTTCGGGGTATGAAAACACACTTCAGAGATGTGTCGTATCTTACCAGGTTCAACAACGAATCAGTGAGGTTCGGATTCCAACACAGTACTGTCTTACTTCAAGCCCTGTGCTCTATGGACAACATCTGACTCTGAATTTCTGGAGGTCACCCCATCCTAGATCCAGCTCCCCAGTGCTTTCTGAACATCTACTGTTTTAAGCACTGTACTAGCTTCAGTAAAGAACATACAACTGGATCACAGAATTTTCTTTATAGGATCATATCATCTCGGTGAAGAGCAGGAAAAACATAGATACAAAACCCACAGTTACAAATACAAAGCCAAACATGCTAATTTTCCCAGGACAGTCTTGAATATTGCCTGTTGTTCCAGAATAATTATGAATAGTGTGTCCTTTCACTCTCAAAAGTGCCTGGATTTGGTGATCGTATATATGGTTATTATAGCAGCTATCTTACCATCTCAGTGTACAGCATTTGATTTCCAGCATCTGCATTTCTTTCATTTGGAACTTTCTCTTCCCACTGTCCTTGCTAATGGGACAGAAGTTAATGTCATCTGGGATCGGCCCTCTAGCAATGACTGGTGAGAACAGATGTATCAATACGTCAACTTCCTTACCCTTCAGGTGGGAAAATTGAGGTACGGGCACCCCATCCTAGCTCACTGGCCCCACAGAATTAAGCACCAGTTATCTGTGATGGTTATTGGCTTGATAATGCACTTTTTATTGGCTATAGTTCCTCTTCTCTATTACCTTACAATGTTTCTAAATAATGTATTTGCATTCTGATTCTTGTCTGAGTGTTTCCTTTTGGGAGTGATCCAAACAGCCCCCTTATTTACAGAAAAGTTGAGGACTGGGTGGTTTTATGTAAGGTACAAACAAAGTGAGGTTGTGACTTGGACTTGACCTTGGCAGTTGAATGCGATTTAGGACTGTGTGGGGAGAGGAGGGCAGTACAGGTGAAGTGAAGGGGATGAACAGCCAGATGTACAGAGACAGATGAGGTGGACTTTGGTTCTGTGAGATGAGGCAGGACAAGGAGCATTGGTCGGTGGAGAACAGAGCTAGTGGGAGTCAGCGGGGCAGGAGGATGTTGGCCACACTGTTTTGGGCAGCCAGTGTCTGGTAGTGAGTGGGCAGGTAGGATGAGGAAGGAGAACACTGAGTCAGAACAGCCAGCAGGAAAATGTTGATGTGATCTACGCAGGAAGAGATGAAAGCTGAACTCAGAGTGGAGGAAAAAATAAAGTGAGGAAGGGGAATTACGAGTCATTTCAAAGAAGAATCCATTGTATGGAGTGGCTGACCAGCTACAAAGGCTGAAGGACTCGATGAGTCAATGGCATCTGCTCTCATCAGCCCACAAACCATCCTGTGTCTCAAGCTGTGAACAGCAGGGATGACAGGCTGATGCCTCTCAAAGAAAGCAATTCTCTAGAATTTTAGTTAAAGTGCATTCAATGTCTAGCTCTTTACTTCCCCCTCAAAGGCTGTGTTGAGTACTTGTTTATTGGCGGCTGTGATCTAGAGTGTATTTTAATTAAATGAAACTGTGGTGAATTGCTGAGGCGCTGGGGACAGACTGAGCAGGGTTCGACCCTTACTCCTATTTCCCAGGTGAGTGGCCTTGAGCAAACTTAGTAAACATCCCAAGCTTTATTTTTATTATCCTTTCAATATGAACAATAGTTGAGTTTTCCTGTTATGGTGGTGCTTTAAGGATTTAATGAGATAATACACAGAAAGGATCATCATTGTATTTAAGTCAATGCTCAGAAAATGATGTCGATTATTCATATCAAGGTAGAGCGAACTGTCTCATCCTCACAATGACTGTAAGACTATTAGAGAGTTGATGGATGACAGATAGCTATTTCTAACTAGCTCCCTGGCTCATGAGCATATATTCTCTCTCTCCCTGCCCACCCCCATGTCTTTTTCTCTCTCCCTTTGAGGCCCAGGAATATAATACTGTTCAGTATTCTGCAGGAAGCTCAGCAACAGAATTGTGGATAAAGAAATAAAGTCTTCTCAGCTCCAGACAATTTTCTCATCTCTAGATAGCTACAGTATTAGGGAGTTTCTATTCTATTCTTTGTACCAGAGATCAGATCCCATTTCATGCATGGCTTTAGGTCAATAAATGGACTATTTTTTGCTCTTCAAAAGGCTCCCAAACACAATTCATTTCAAACAAAAGTCACCACCCAGCTGCCTCTCTTTCACGCTCCTTACCATGAAAATGGTCTTGGAAACACAGAGTTGCCACCCAGCAAAGCGGCTCAGTGGGGCAGACGGCAATGTGAATTCTTAGACAAAGATCTGAACTAAGTACACACAATTGTCTTGTAGGGGAATGATGACAAAGGAAACGTACCCCTTTCATTCAACGTGGGCTGATTCTTTGGCAAGCTGATTTAAAACTGCAGCATTTCAAAGAGTGGTTATTTAGTTCAAAAAGTCCTTGGGATTGATTGGGATATCCATTTTCTCAAATTTTCTGGGTTTCCTGAGGTTTTCTGTTAACACAGAGAAGGATCATGAAGAACGCCAGACGTTCAGGGTCTCTTTTGGCCCATGCCTATAAGGATGGGCAACACAGTCACTTTTCACATGCTACAGGTTTCAGGGAGCCTGGGCAAGTGCACAGTCATGTCCCTGGTCTTCTCCGGTGATCAGAGAGGCCACGTGCTGGAGCTGTCACGTTCGCCTCCTGGGACCCACTAGACCAAAATGTCAGAAAGGTGTGAACTAAATCACAGCATCAAAATGGCACCCTTCTACTCTACACGCACACACACACACGCACACACACACACACATGCACGTGCTCCTCGCAGCTTTCAGGGATTTAGGGATTCAAATGAGCTGGGGAAAAACTGATTTTATGAATTCACCTGGTTTGGATTTTCCAGAGCAAGATTCTATCCAGTAGAGTTCAACCCTAAAGCAAATGCAGCAGCCAGAGTGAGGTTTCCAAGGGGAGCATGGGGAGTTGGAGAGGATGAGGTGCACGTCTTTTAATAAAGGTTGAAATGTGAAATGGCAAGCGAGAAAAGAAATCATTTTGTTTCATTTGGGCACTTGTACTGGTTAATTATAGAATGGGATGGTTTGAGGATTGGGTTTCCTTCTTTAAATACTCACTGGGAAATCCATTGCCTGGAAAGGCACACTTCAGGCTGACATATGTAGGGCATCACCTTGCGGTGGCATTTCCTCTGGGGCATCAAGGTTTTGAGGTGACCTGGTATAATAGATGCTCCTTCTGGTGTAATAGGTGCCTCTTCTCTCAAGCCTTGGCCAGGATGGAGTGCCCATCCCCAGCCGCTAAGGATGTGGGCTGCTAACATCTCACAGCTGCCCTTCTCCAGAGACACCTCCATCCCATCCCAGCCTCACCTGGCAGCCCAAGGTCTAGGGTTGACGTTGACCCAGAGTATGAAAGCCCAGCCTTTTGTCACTAGGCAGGACAGCTTTGATGCAATTTACTTTCCAGAGCTCACTGTGGGATCAGTTGAGGCTAACACTTCACCTAAATCACATCTTTGCTTAGACTTTTCATCTTCCTTAGCCTGCATCCCTCATTCCCCTGATGAGTTTTACCTGAGAGCATCTCCTCACTAAATCACTTGCCCGAGAATCCCTGCCTCAGGCTCTGCTTCTGCAAAAAACCAACAAAAGACACCTGATGAATTAGAAGGCAAACAGAGAGCTGGTTGGCTTTGTTGTCAAGGTAGCACGAAGCCAGGGCTGCCCGCTTTCTCTCTCCCACAATGCCCTCTGACTGGATTCCAACTTACCTGTGGGTGCGTTGAGGCTCTTTATAGAATACTGAACTCTTAGTTGCCGCAGTCTGGTCCTCTTAACTAAGAAGTTAAAGCTGAAAACCTTTTTCACTGCCTATAGTCTTGATTTCAGTTGGACTTACTCATAAAAATGCTTAGTAATGCAAAGGATTCTAATTAGTGACTCTCCTCTCCCCAGCCCACTTACACAATTATCTAACTACTCTAGAAAATTACAATTTTGATGTTCAGCTTATGTATTTCAATTCTTTCTGCCAAAATCATGACTTTGAAACTCTTGAGTTTCCTCTTACAGCTAATTATCATAGTTTCTGTAAGTGTATTAAAATGCCCTTTCCTTTCCCAAAATAAATCTATCCATACAAATGTTCCCACAAATGAAAGCTTTTTCTTTAGCTTTTTTAGGGCTTTTATTCTGAGTGGCTTAATTTAACACCATTGGGAGGGAGGTTGAGCATATGAATGGGGAATTGGGGTAGAAATGTGAGAACTCCAAGGGGCAATGGTTTCCCCAGTATTTTTTGTTCCTTCTGTATTATTCTATTGCTGGTCAAAAGGGATTGCTCTCCTTTCTGAGGCACATCTGAGAGAAGAATTAAAGTATAAGAGCCTTATTAAGGAAGCCGTGAATAGGAATAGGAAGACAGTAAGCAGAGCAGGGCAGGAAAGTGGAGTGGGCGTGGGGAGCCAGGCAGGTGGCAAGAGGTAGAGGCAACATCTCACGGCAGCTTCATCTCAGTGGTCAGGGAAGTGGGGTGTACATGACACCTCAGAGTTGTCATCCCTCTGAGAAGGAAGAAAGCTGGGCTCCACAGCCAGGGGTGATGTGGGAACTGGCATTTCTGCTGCAGGTAAAACAGCTGCAGTAGCCTGAGAGAAGACATCCAAAATTAGTCATGGGGTTAGCCTGTTCAAACCCAATTCAAACAGAAGCAAGAAGAAGAGCAGTGACAGAATCAGTAATAGAAACCTTAGGGTATCTGGGTGGGGCACTGAGAATCCACCACATGGTCAGCAGGAGGCAACGTGAAGAAGGGCAGGACACTTACCCAAGCAGAAGTGACTTCCAGGCATTCGAGCCAAAGGATGTGTCCATGTTGCTCACCAGCCGCCATATTGACTACTGCCAACGTCCTCGCCTGCCCTGGCTACCATATTGTGCTGGTGGCGGTCTCCTGCCTTGGGCCTCCTCTGGGGTGTATTATCAGACAGCTCTTGCTTAATCCAGTTTCTATTAGTAAACTGGGGTTGGACAATCATGAATATTCATATCTGTGGATGTGAATGTCTGAGTTGCTGAAGATTCCTGGAGCTATGAACGAAGGGGATCAGATCAAATCATTCCTGAAAATGCCACATGGGCATATTGATTATTTTGAGCTGAAGGCATTTGAGAAATAGCAGATTCAGGAAGGAGCCTCTGACCTCTCCCTTTCTACCTAAAGGTAGGACATAAAATTTCCTTGAGGAAGGTGCCTGCCCTATACTGAGAAGAGACGAGCATAATTATCACCAGGGATTGGGAGTTGACACTGA